CGGTGAAGCTTTTCTCTGGAAACGTGGCCGCTGAGCTGGGCGGTGGGGGAGAGCCAGGTGGGGTCCGTGCGAGTGGTCGGCTTCGTGGGCTCCCGGGACGTCGCGGGTGGCCCAAGTGCTGCCCCCGGGGCTCCTCGAGGGACGGAGCGGAGGAGCTGAGGCCTGGACGCTGCCTCTCGGGAGCTGGGGTCAATTTCTGCAGAGAGGAGAAACCCCTAATTATGTGTTATTTGTTACGATGTCGGTAACTTTAATGTAAGCTTAATATGACCGAACCGGAGTACGCTTTAATTACTTACTGGCAAAAAGTGCTTCTGCACAGTTTATATCCCAGTAACTAGGGAATGAGTTGATGTGTTGTCCCAAGAACTGTCCCTGTTGCTAATTAGCGTGGTGGGAAACTTGGTAGCGTGGCAGGAAGCAGGACAAGATCACAGTCCAAGAAGTGCTATGGCTGTGCATCGCTCGAAACTCAAAATGTCAGTGGGAGCTCGGCTTTGTGTGACAGCTTTGGGTGGCCAAAGGTGAAAGACCAGCTCTTGATTCCACGGAGCTAAGTAGCGGAAAAGCTTCTGTCTGAGCTAACAGAGTCATCCTGGCTCAAAAGCCCTTATCTTTATTGAGCTTTGAGTGAGTATTTATTATATGGGGATATGAACAAATCATGGATTTTCAAATACTGGTATTTTGCTTTTTCACATGTATTTAATTTGTCTGGGTGTAGCTTCTTATTTTATAAATCTTTAGACTCTAAATAGAGCTCAGACTAAATTCACTGTGAAGTGGCAAGAGTTGCCTTTTCTATCAAGGAGTTTAATTCTCTCATTAAAAAACTTCATACATTTTGAAGGGTGCCAAATGACAAATGTGAAGTTGGCTTGTATGCCTAAGTTATTTGAGGCCTACTCTAAGTCTGATATATGGATTGATGTTTCTTGTGTTTCATCTGATTTCATTCAGAGTCCTAAAATCCTGAATGTAATACACATAAAAAGAGATTCTCTAAGCACTATGATATTTAATGTTGTAGAATAAATACTTGTTGAGTTAAATATGTAGCTGTAAAGAAGGCTTTCGGAACAAAATGCTAGTTTCTGGCACTGATCAGTTACAAACTGAGTTTTACCTGAATGCATTTCGAACTATCAGCAGCCAACCCTACAAATAATAATTCCTCCATTCCATATTTTTGTGATAAGCTACTAGATACATAGAACTTTTATCAGAACATATTTAACAATTCACTGTTGAAGGTGAGTACATCTGTAAGGAGTGTTTAAGATTTGTCATCTTCTGCAACTCATATTTGCAGGCTGCTTTGGCTGGTGAGGGCAGCTACTTTCCCCTTCCTGTTGCTTGGCATCTTTTTACTATTACATCCTTTTGATCTCCTCTGCCTTTTTCCTATATCCTCCTTTAGAGTATTAGAACCAGGAAAAGAACCATGGGGTGTGTATCAAGAAAAATAGGCAAGAAGTTGTTTTAAATAGAAATGTATGCATTACCTTCCTGACTTCCTTTTTCTTCCTCTTTACCAGTTCCAGTTACAAAAGTGTCACTCAGATTCTTATAAAATCGACTAGACTATTTCAGTTGGAAGGGACCTACAACAATCATCCAGTCCAACTGCCTGACCACTGCAGGGCTGACCAAAAGTTAAAGCACGTTGTTAAGGGCATTGTCCAAATGCCTCTTCAACACTGACAGGCCTGGGACATCGACCCCCTCTCTAGGAAGCCTCTTCCAGTGTTTGACCACCCTCTCGGTAAACAAATGCTTCCTAATGTCCAGTCTAGACCTCCCCTGGCACAGCTTTGAACCATTCCCACGTGTCCCATCTCTGGGTACCAGGGAGCGGAGCTCAGCATCTCCCTCTCCACGTCCCCTCCTCAGGAGGCTGCAGAGAGCAATGAGGTCGCCCCTCAGCCTCCGTCTCCCCAAACTGGACAAACCCAGAGCCCTCAGCCGCTCCTCACAGGCCATCCCTGCCAGCCCTTTCGCCAGCTTTGTTGCCCTCTGGATGCAGTCAAGGACCTTCACATCCTTCTTAAATTGTGGGGCCCAGAACTGCACAGAGTACTTGAGATGAGGTCACACCAACGCTGAATACAGCAGGACAGTCCCCTCTTTTGAGTGGTTATACTGTGGTTTTGTTAGATCAAAAAACACTCCATGAACAAGCAGAAAGAGCTGTTATTTCTCCCTTCCAACCTTCTGCTGGTTCTTTCATTTGTAGTACAAGTAGTCTCTGAAATCCCAATAGCCAAAGTTAGGTGAGTAGGGAAGAGTGATGCCTTAGTTGATGTTTCCAGCTCAGCAGTGTGATATCTCATTACTCATTATGCTTTGCTTCTTTCAGAAAAAGCAGATACTGACAGACTGTATTTCTTCATTCTCGTTTGGATTTCTTTTGGATATACTCAGGTGCTCAGAACTATTTATCAATGAAGCTCTCTTGACCTAAGTTTGTTGAAAGTTTATTGAGAACTGCAGGGTTGAGTTCCCAACAACAGGTTAATTGTCAAACATCCAGCTAATTGAATTGGACACACAATGTGATTTGTTGCACTTAGACCTTGTGAATCATTAAGATGTATATGTGTTTGTGGGTTAAATTTCTAAAAGAAGAAGGTAGGAATAATGAAGAAATGGAATTCATTATTTTTACGCAGTCTTTCTAGGCTTTTTCAAGTCCTATTTTCATTGAAATAATTGTGCTAAATAGAAGAATTATATGAAGCACATTGTGTGCCTTCAGAGCACTACACCATTAAACATACTTCAGACTGCCAGTCAGGTTTGTGTAGATAATGGCCCATGTTACAGCTGTGATTCTCAAACTTTGTGTTTTTCAGATCAGAGGCTAAATATGGCACTTGGACAGTATGAAGCAGATGAGATTTTGAGAGCTACTGCTGAGCGGGTATGTGAACTCGGGGATGGAAGTAGTAAGAATTTTTGTGATGAGATTTTGTGACAAACGTTTTTTTGCATACATAGAGCACAGCACACTTCAATGTGGCCTGGCCTTGCGTTGGGTCCATAACATGACTAGAGTTGCTTGTTTTTCCAAACAGCAACAGGAGAATAAAATTGTCATAACAGTGAATTCTGATATTTTTGGTGGTTTTCAAAAGTTTGTCGTATGCAGGAGAACATATCCCTGAAAGAATACTTGATTTCTACTTTAGTAGACTTTTTCACTTTATAGACTTCCATTTTCTAAGAGATTGGTCTTGTGTTAACTAGGTACCATAAGCCTGTCTGAAAGTCTGTGCAGAAGGTATGGCAGCAGCACTTCCCTAATGCTGACATGCATGGACGTGAACTTAGCACTTACACAAACTTATGATTGTTCTTTTAAGAGCGAGATGATTCCCTCTCAGATGCAATTATGCTTTATATCAGAGCATTTCCGGGGAGGGTGTGTGGATTATTTTTCTCAAACTGGGCCAGCACTGAAGGATTTTTGAATACAAACCTGAAAGTGATCATGTGGGCTATTGTGTATGATTACAGTACAGACAGAACAACAGCTTTGGGTTGCATGTAAAAATTTAAAACTACATGCAGTCATGTGCAAGTACTAATATGTAAAGTATACCATTACAGAAAAATGCCCCTGGACGTGGTGGCTTATCAGGATCCAGGATGATGGACCAAAGGTAACTGATTCCAGGTGATAAGTGGGAATACTACAAAGCATTCAAAAGAAATTGTCATGTGCTTTTTAAAGTGTAAATATCCAGGTAAACCTGGTCTTATATACATGTGTTCACAGCTCTGAGAACTTTTGAATGGAGTCTGTAAAAGTGTTCCTGTAGCAGTTGTTTTAGATACTATTCTGTTTATTCAGTAAATTAAATACATGACTTTTTCTTCCACGATCTGTAAAATAAAGGATGAGAGATGAATGAAGGAATTATCTAGTCTAAATTTTAAGATAATAAACAAAAGCGTAGGCACAATTGTACTCATCTAGGTAACACAGGTAACTGCTGTCTGTTGAGGTCAGGTGGATGTTCTTAAAAATGCTTATTTGACAATCTTCAACTAACAGTTGCCTGTTAGTAAATTGTTTAATAATCATTGTAATCTCCTGTTATAAAAATAACCTGTCCTTTCTTGTTAGCTTTTAAGGTATTATCGCTCTAGACTGATATAGAATTTTCAGAGAATTACTATCAATTGCAAAAATATTATGAAAGAAAAAGTATTAGGTAGAACTATGTTATTTTGGGTTGTCTTATAGGCCACTTTACTGTTGTATGTGAAAGCAGTAACAAAGTCTAGTCTTTAATCATTTGGGATTATATGTATGAAATATTAATGTTGTATTAACGCTCATTTATAGTGTCCCATGTTCTAGTTCTGTTATACAGGAAATCTGTTAATGATCATACTTTAAAAGTAGTAATTAAATTTATTTGATTCTGGTGAACCTCGAGCTTGGAAATAAAGAAAAGTGACTATTTTGTTATGTCTCCAGATTAAGAATGCTTTAAAACTAGTTAATTATCAGAACAATGTTTCAGCATGTGCAAAATTTATTCTAAGCATGTTTTTCAACTTTTTAGCTTGTGGACTCTAATCACGGAGTATGATAAACACTTGGAAGAAATGAGAGAACAGCTGCAGCTTTATCAGGTATGGATGTTCCTAACATTTCAGACTGTATAGTCTTACTATTTTATAGTATAAATACCTAGGCCATTAGTTTTTGTCAGTGAAGGAAAGTATGCCTGCGCCGTGCTTCACAAACTTGCTGGACTGCAGTCTGCCTCAGATGGGTGAACAGAGAGCTTTCTGTGAAAAGGTTGGGAGTTTGTAGAAATTGCACGGATTACTGTGCGTTTGGAGTAGTGTTGTGAAATGAAACATGCATGTTTTATTTCTCTAGGTGTTCTGATAGGGTTGCAGGTGTTTTCCTAGGTGGCGTTCGGATGAGGCAGCTGTTTCCCCTCGTTCCTTACAGGTCTGATCTTGGCCATGCAGTCCAGCTCAGTCCTGCAAGTGTAGATACAGCCAGCCTTCTTCATTCTCAGTAGTTCTTCAGATTCAAATAATTCTGTAAATGTTTATTATCATAGGGGTTGAGGTGGAGCGGGACTGTCCTCCTCGCAGCCACAGGAAAATGAAGCTTTTTAATGCTTTGTGTGATCGCTGAAAAGCAAAGTGATGTGTTTAATAATTAAAACTTGTGGCATGGAGAAAGCGACTTTTACTTGTGATCTACATGCAGAAGTTATACTCTGGTTTAATGCACTTAATTTGTTTGATCTGTCCGCCATAAAGATTCTGCAAATACAGTCTTCAAGCTGGGCCGATTTCAGAAGGCAATAGAAGCACTGTGGTTTTGTTGCACTGTTTAGTTAAGAAAACAGTCCATTTGACTTGCGTAACTGAAGTTTCACCTCAGTTAATTCCTAAACTCTTTTCTGAAATGCTTACTACATAAAAGATGAGAGTTATCCACTGTATCCCTAAAAAGACTTGAGTTAATTAAGAATCAATCTGTAAGAGCTATAAGAATTCCAAAAGGTAAGTTTAATGCTCATAATAATTTCTGAATGCTTAGGTATAACAGGACTTAGCAGCTGTTAAATTTGAATGGCATCCTATGATTTTCCTTAAAAAAGAAAGTTACTTTCGTTTACTGTAGTATGCTGAATTAAATTGTCCATCTTTTACAGGATCAGTCAGAACTAAAAGATGAAACAATTCCCAAAGTTTATGTCACTTAAATGAGCACTTACTTTTGCATGCTTTTGTCTTAGGTACAAATGAGCGAGATGAGACTAAGATTTGAACAAGTCACCAAGGAAAATGAAAGGTAAATAATTGCACTGCCCTGTTACGACTCCTGTTTTCCTTGATTTCTAAAGCTCAAAAAGGTGTTTACTAGGACCTTGAAATCTTTTGAATCTACTTCATAGTTGAAGATTTCATACTCACGAGCTTAATGTTAGAGTCTTTAAGTGCTTACTGTAGATTACAGCACCACGTTTAGGAGATTTAACCATATCTCTAAAAGAACTAGATATTAAACTATTTCAAACTGTCTATTGTGTTTATGGAATGTAACTTAATAGATCTAAATATGACTTAGAAGTAAATAGTATACAGATTGAAGGTATGGTATACTTCTTTTTTTTTAAAAAAAAAAAAACACCTGTTGAAGAAATACTTTGCTGAACTAACTTCTTTGAATGTCAGGCTGCATGCAGAGTTGAAAGAGGCTCTTGAGAAGCAACTGGAGGCTCTTCCTCTCATGCCTCTGGGAACTGATATTCCTGCAGATGAAAGCATAGTGAGAAACCTTCAAGAACAACTGCAACTGACGAATCAAGTGTGTGAGATGAAACATTTGTACTGTTTTATTTCTCTCGTTGTGCCTCGGCAGATTAGGGGAAGCTGTTTTATTTCTTGATTCAGAATTCGTTTGTTCAGAGTTCTTTGAGAGTATTTTGAGACCTTCTTGACTTTCTGTAGCTGAAGAAACAAATGCTTATACTTTCAACCTAAAGACCTAAAGGAACTTCTTTCCTAGATTCATACAAGAAGTATTTAATGTTAATTTGTGCCTGTAGTTTTACCTAGTTGACTTGATCTTTATATTGAATTTCTGACCAGGAAATTAATGAAATACTTTGTTCAATTAAAGTTTTTGTAGTAGCTTGTCACTTTAATCAAAAACACTATAATGTGATATGAAGAGACAAGAATATGTGGGATATAAAAAATAATATTTAAATCTGAAAAGATAAGCAAATTTTGTTGATCTTATTACAGTGATGTATCTATCCTGTTGCATATGATTAAGTTGAAGTTAAATTGACAGCTGAATTTTGGCATTTGAATATTATATACACTGTTGGCCTACAGTAAATACCTGTAAAAGTTTGAACTATAAAAAAAATCTGGAAAATTTGCAGTTCATTTGTAGGTAGAATTTGAACTTGTAAGCGTCTGTTTTTCTGCATGTGAATTTGCTGTTTTGTCTGTGTAGTTGTAATGTGTGCAGAGGCAAGTACAGTAAATAGCATTTCCTCAAAAGAGAAGTTAAGACCTCTCTTTTAAGAGAGTGATAGATGAAGGTAAATGTGCTATAATAGAATATTTTATACAAACCATTGTTCTGTAACTTAGGAAAGAGAACAAGCAATTGCGCTCTGGCAGACTGTGTTACAGGAGCATGATCGACTCCAGCAGCAGTACCAGGAACGTATGACTGAAACGCAGATTCACGTGGCTGAAAGGCAAAAGCAGAAAGTAATTTTCATTTATATTTTTGTTAATTTTTGAATGTCTTTCTGTACGGTAGAGATTCTGGGTCTGTGTGTAGTCAAGCTGAAGTGGGGGAGGTTGTACCAGTACTGTTTAATTGTTTTCCATATAGTCATCTGAAGTTGAGTGGTTAGGTGTGGTCAATGATTCATCAGCTAAATGCACAGTTAGACTGGGAACGTTCTTGATTTCAAATATTATGGGCAGGAACTTGAGGAATGCACTGAGTCTGAGTCTTAGTGCATATATGTGTATACGTGCATAAGATCTGCACATGTATATGAATAATCGTGTTTGAATTGCATGGTTTGAAATCTTCAGTAGAATTCAACATCTGAAAAAGCTGCTAAAGATTTCTCAGTTCCAAAGTGGAAGTCTTTCATGTTGTCTCCTATGTTTGAATCCTAAATTTTGTCTGTAAGATCACAGTGGGATACTGGGAAAAATAGTCTCAATTTCCTGTTGCCGTTCAGTAAAGAAGCATCTGTAAGCAGACAAAAAATCAAGTTCACCAGTATTCTTCTAATACTAGCTTGTGTTTAACAGCCTGCTTCTCTTCTGCTGTTTCTGGGGAAGGCGTTTCAGGAAGTCTTAGTTCAGAAAAGCTGTTTTGCTCTGATGAGCTATATAAAGATGCTCAGTGTGTGAAGAACTAATAGAAACTTCATGCCTGTATGTACCTCGCTACAGATATTTCTACATCTGTAAAGAGATGCTACAACTTTTTTTAGTATTTCCTTTCCATTTTCAAGTACACTAGACTTGTGGGCACAGTTACCGCTAACCTCTATAAGAGAAATTTTTTTTTACTGGTTTTTGTTCTTTTGTGGTATTAAGTCCACCTCAGCAATATGCTCTTTTCTGAGAAACAGGAAAAATATGTGTACAGCTATTGTGCTCTGTCAAGTTTTAAAATTATTTCAGGCAATAGTTATGAGGATTCTTTTATCTATGTGTAGTTGCAACTTTTTGCTCCTATTCTCTCTGTTAGATTATTTCTTGTGTTGCATTATCAGTTACTGGTAACAGACACGTTGTTATGTGTATGGCCATTGGTAGTTGTTGGAGGGTTTAGGGCTGTTAGATTCCACTTTTCATTGTTAACTGAACTCTTGGTGAATTTTAATGCCATTGTAACAAGAATGAGGTTGAGCTGCCTTTTATTCTTAAATGCTACTAGTCTTGCACAAAAAATGGCATTTCAGTTAAATAAACTCTTAGGTTTTACTTTTGATGGAAGAGCAGAAAATAGCTATCGGAGGTAAATAGAAATAGGTAAGACCAACTAGAATTAGAATTGACAGAAAGCAAAGATGAGAGAGGATATGGTTGTAAGGGTTGGACATAGTAAATAAGGGAGTTGTTGGAATAGCTTTCTGGTTTATACTTGGCCTTGAGACTGTTAGATAAACACAGCACAATTAGTAGCTATTCCAGCTCAGGGACTTGAGTCCTCTCTGTCCTCTGAAGACACTTGGCATGCTGCAGATGGTTTTTCTGTGTAACGCTAGTTTTCCTACAATGACACAGTTACGTTCAGGGTCTCAGGAGTTTAATCGAACAATTTTTTTTGTATGGGCACAAGACGTCCTATATGGCAAAGAGCAAATTAAATGTGTCCATACAGGCGTTTTTTAATTAAGGAGTACATATGTGGTACTGTGCTTAGCAAAAATGCTTATAGTAGCATCATAGTCTGTGTGGCTCTTTAACGGCACTACTCGTGTATACTTTCATATTTTAATAGTAAGTGTGTATGAGTTTTGGAAGGAGGCAATTTGTAACTAAGTGAAATTCAGATACAGTTTTCTGATTTTCCAGATTACTAGTTCAACAACTAAAAGCAGTCTAATTAAAATTTAATCTATAAAGGCATATTGAATTTCCTGCAACATGTATAAATGTTTTTGAAAATGTTTTTAGTTGCCTGTGAAACTCCCTAATTAGACACTCTTTATTATGATAATGATTCTAAGAAGCTCTGAATTCTCTTTTTAGGATCAACTGACTAGCTTTCAACAGTTGACTCGGCAACTGCATATAGCCAATGAGAAAATAGAGTTGGTAAGTAAAATCCTTCTGAACAGTGACCTAGTAAATTATTTTTTTTTTCCTACTAGAGTCTCAAAGTATAAAAGAAAAGCAAAAAGTCCTTCATACATACCTGGTTAAAAAAGACATTGCGCCACTCAAATTTACAGAATTTTCTAGGGACTAGTCAAAAAATCAAGTAGTAATGGCTTTTTTCCTGAACTCCAAACACCAGGTCAGGGTGGTTGAGAGGTTAGCTCTTAATATTATATGAGCTTTTCCTTCAAGAAGTCAGTGGTAAGCTTACACTCAGAATTTGGGTATGTGGTGAGTGTACTTCAGTCACACGTTCAAAACCATCTTCACGAAGGCAAAACTTATTTAAACAATGACCTCTTATGTAGAGCAGCTCTGCCACTCGTTTATCAGTTCCTGGTTTGGCACTACTGGCTTCAGTGTCTTTGTCATTGACCTTTTCAGGGATTTTTCTGAGCTCTAATCATCTCCTAGTGCTTCATCCATATCCTTAGATTGCGAGACTTCCTGGTCTCTAAGCTTTAGCCGAGGACTTCCAGGATTGACAAACAATTTTAATATCATAGCAAAATCAAGGTGAAAGACTTGAAGTTTCTGGCTCAGCAGCTTTTTCTCTGAAAGACACAATTCCTGTGTAATTATTTTTTATTTTTTTTGATTAAAGTTTGTCTGGAATAGTAGTCGTGCACAAAGACTCCTAACCTGCTCTAGGCAGTCTGCTCCCTTCTGTTTTTATCACTGGACCTTTTTTCCTCACATCTGACCTCTTGTTAAAATATAAGCCTGTTTCTTTGGTGTGAAATATTGTAGGTATGAAGGAAAGATTACTACATTGTCTGTCACGGTGCCTCTGTTACTGAAAACTCTTGTATTGCCATCTTTTCCCTTTCCCTGCTTTTTCTATTCTGTTCAAAGCAAGTCAAGTCTTTAAATGTTCTTTGACAATGTTTTTAAGATATCTAATCATTCTTCATGCTCACCTTTAAATTCTTTTCTATTGTGCCATTATTCTTGAACTGTGGTGCTGGAAATGGTACCATACTCCAATCGAGCCCTTACCAATGTTGAGTAGAATATTGCAGATTACTACAGAGTTGTATCTTGCGAGCAGTTGTCCTGTTTACAAGCTATTTCATTAGTCTTAATAAAAGCAAAATAATGCACTCTGAGAGGAACTTTTGCCTTATGTAGTCAGTGATGGTCTCAAAATTAACTATTCTCTAAAGATAGATACTTCAGATATACGTTATAATATTCTCTCGATTTATTATATAAGATATATATAATATACCTACAGATAATATATTAATGATATAATAAAATGATACATATAATTATACTTAGTATTTTATATAGTATTTGAATTGTTAATTATCATTATTATATATTATATATCTCTAATACAAGATACAATATTCTCTAAAGATAGATACTTTAGAGCTGAGGATTGCTATCTGAAAAACCATCTCTGCTGTCTGAAAACCGTCTTGAGGAAATACAATATGAGCTTTTAAAGCAATTTTGCTCACGATTTGGAAGTTACAGACTGTTTGATCTGCTGTTACAAGCAAATCAGTAGTAGATACCTGAAAAAAACAGAATCACTGAATGCTTAAAATCATAAAATTGGAAAGAGATGATGTGGAGAGGAGACAGTGAAATACGTGAACTCTTTGAAAGAGATGAAATGAGCAATGTTAAGATAAAGGTAATCCATTTGTTTGCGTTATCCAAAAAACGTTTGGCAACATCTGTTACGAAAGGCATAAAGATGTCATGGGATAAAGAAGCATGCCCTTTCTTGAACTAACAAACTGAGAAATCGGAAGTGAAGAGACAGAGTAATGAGTCAGGTTTTTTATTGTGGTAAAACAGCTGTGTTCCCTACATGTGCTCAGGTTAGAGCTGTTCAGCATGTTTATAAATACTCTGGAAATGAGATTCAGTATTGAGGCAAGAGTGTTCACTACTGATGTTAAACTATTTAGGGTAGTGAAAACTGCAGAAACTTGCAGAAAGATCTCATGATGTTGAGCATCTGAGTGAATTTTATCTGACATTTCACTGGTATTAATAAAATCAAAATAATAATGTATGTGGGCGAGTGGACCTTTCACTTTGGGTACTATGTGATGGTGTTGAAATTAACTGTTACCACTCAGAATAGGCATTTTAGAAGTAGGAGGTGTCTGAAAACAATTTCTAGCAACAGTCAAAAAAGCAAGAAGAATGCTAGCAATTATTAGAAGAGAGGGGAAAAGGTATGTGTTGTGCTGAAGTCCACAGTACAGTCGCATCTGGAATGCTGCCTGCAGTTGTGGTCATCTTGAATATCTCAGTGTAAGGTATATGTAAGATCTAGAAAAGGCTAGTAGGGTAACAAAACTATGAAATTATTCTAAAATGAGAATGCTATTTTTATGGTATTGTGTTCTGTAGAAATGCCCTGTAACAATTCTGAATATATAACATTTTCAATACAGTAAGCAACATGTTACAAATATCTCCTTATTTTGCAGAGCAATCGACAGTTTCTGAAAACTGTAACAGAACAGAGTGTGGAACTAGAGCAGCTACGAAAACAACTGAGGTATAGACCAGGCAATTAAAAAAATTATTAAATATATTTTCTATAACTTTTAACTTGCTGCTGTAGCATGGGCCATGTTTGTCCTGCAGACTGACTTTGATAGTGATAGTTACAATGGTTTCAGTTAATGCCTTTTAAGTTTGTTAGACAGGTGTGCATCCTTAGTGTTAGGGCAGCGTATTTCCAGTTACTGTTGTTTGGTTCAGCTGTTTCCTGAAATAATCAACATTTGACCTTTGATTTAAAAGGAACAAAGTGTTAGTATTGCTGCAAAATTGACTCTGAAGATTGGTTTTCATTAGAGTACAGTTTGCTCAAAATCCAGTTACAGAATTACTTGTTACAGTTCTGAAATTTGAATGTTGAAAGTAGTTTCAAGTTTTAAAGTTTTCAATAAAATTTCTATTCACTGTTTCTCAATAAAGAGCTCCAAACCATAGACTCTTTGGAAGTTAGAGATAAAAGAAGCGTTAATTATATTCCTGAAGTATATCAAGGAAAATTAGAAAAATACCTGCAACACAGTTTCATGTTTATTTATATTTACAGCCAAAGTCTGTTCAATGCCAGTTTACTGTGTCTGTTAATTCTCTTAATTAGTGATGGTTGAGATCAAACTAAAATTTTATTTCAGTAAACAGTGGATTTGTGGACTGACAGTAAAAAGAAAATGGATTCATTATCAACCAGTGATTTTTATTTTCTTTCTATAGCTTTAAATAAGCTTTTTAAAATAAACATTTGTTTATAAGCTTAAAATTTATAATGTACTTAAATTTTGGATTAATTATTAAATTTTGCTTTGGTTTTTGTTCCCGTAATTTCCTTTGATACTGTGATTAAAATATTTCATATAGTTGGACTGCTATGATGTCTTGTTAGTTTTATCTTTTGGCTTTAAAGAATGTCACCCCAAAAATGGTAAAAATAATTTCCATGTTTATGTAAACAGATGTTAAAGATGGCTCTGTGCTTTTGCACATGCACACGTGCTCAGGCACTCAATTTTGTACGCAGCTTTTGCAGGTAATGCTGGTATTTAGAAACCTAGGCTGGCTGAACGCGTGCTGGTACTGATTTTACCCCTCCAAGAAAGAAAGGCCGCATCAGATGTTTCCTCTCCTCTCTTCCAAACCCACACAAAATCTTACATGAAGAGCAGTTGGTATCTGTTGTAATGCTAAGGGCTTGTCACTGTAAAGATTGGCTGTTATGCAAATTTCAGCATCTGTTTAATGAGTCTAGTTGTACTGTTTGTAGCTATTAAAGTCAGGTGTCACAATACCCACAGTAAAAGATACCGGTTTAGAGTGAATGAACAGATTCATTAGTGTTGAATATTGGTCATCGTTGAATATTTATTAACCAATTTAAAAATTAGTGTGTTTTTTCGAGATTGATTGTATTCAAACCTTCTGGCTGTTACAGCAATAAAAATTAGCTGCTTCTAGTATTAACCTTTCACTCCATGCTTGGTACATTATGGCATACTTACTAGAAGAATTTTATTTGTTTTAAAGAATGTTTACTTTTACATTTCCTTTGTACAATAAGTTCAGGACCAGAACCTGCTTACAAACGCCAAGTTACTTCAGTCACTGAAGATGTGTTTTTTGAGGGGTCCTTGCTGGCACTTCACATCTTTATTAGCCAAGATTTTTTTTTTCCATGGAAGAACTATTTTCAGAAATGATGTGTTTTAGAGAAGGAATATGTTGTGACAAGCAATCAAAAATTAAGGTGGTGTTGAAGGTACTTTATCAAGTATTTTCAGACTTAGTCATCACTTACAATTTGCTTGTGCCTGCTACTATTTAATTCTTATAAGGGGAAAGAACAATACTTTCATATCACTACTTTTTTGAATTTCTTTCCTTGCAAAGGGTGTTAGTATTGAATTACTGTTTTGGCGTCTCATTCATCTATAAATCTTTGGTCTTGCATTGATGTGCTTACATTGAGTCATGTAATAAGTGGGTATGAAAGCACTTGGCATTAACTGAACCTGTTTTAGACATTCAATAAATGCTGGCAGCATTCACTTTATTACTGCATTTCTAACAATCTCAGTGGTTTTGACTTTTAAAAAAAAAAAAAAAACACAAACACCAAACTTAAAATCATCAGGTTGTGGTTGAGCAGCCAGTTGAGTGTGTGTGTCGAAATTACAGATAAGATTTCCTTTTGAACTCATCTTGATTTCATTTTTTTGTTAAAAGAAAACTCCTTTTTAGGCTTGATCCTTGGAGTTATATGAAATTCAATGATACCACTTTGATCAAATAATTTAGAATATGGCATGACAACCAGAATAGCCAAACTCTGATTCATAGCCATGCATACAGCTCCTTGTGTGTATAACTGTCCATATGGCAATGAGCATGGATGGTAGAAGGCAAGTGCATGTTTTCTGCTTAACCTGCTGCTTCAGGAAGAAGGTATATTAAAGAGTAGAAGTCCCTGGGACTGACTGAAAGCTAGTGGATCTTGCTCTGAACTTATACTCACACATGCCCAAATATGTATGCATATTTTTGATTAGCTGCTGTTTTATAAATAGTGAAATTGTGAGGGAATTTAGACTTCCGTCTGAGTATCCTCAGGGCTGGAGTAGTCATCTTCCTTCTCCTCTCAGAACACTGGATTTCCAGTTTAACGTGTTCTGGCTTGGCAAGACTGCTTGACACATGTGACTTAAGTCAATCAAAGCAGTTAACTGCTTGCCATTAATCCACAACTGGACAATCAGTGGCCTATATGTTAATGACCAATATTAATAATGTAATGGGTAAACCATAATACTAGGCATTTGTAATATATTAATGAACAAACACAAACCTATAAACAGCCTTCTGTAATTGATCTCACTTTTTTTTACTCTTTCTTGCTTGCTCTTACATAGGTATGCACACCCTCTTGCACAGGAAGCACGGATTAGAAGTATGTGCACAGGTACTCCCTTTTTGGGAAGTACATCTTCCCCCATCTGCACACCCCTTGTGCTGGAGGTGCGGGTACTTGTGCTGCTCCCTGAAGTACCCCTTGAGTTCCCACTGGGCGCAGGCTGCTCGTGGGGTCTGGTGGGGCAGCTGCTCTCAGGCTTGGGAAAAGGTGGCAATGCCCATGGGGTGACTCCTGGCAGGGTCAAACACGGCTTCGCTGCTGGGCTGTCACTCTAAAGTCTCTCACCCACAATCACAGCTTTTCCTACTTCTTTTTAAGCTGTCGTCTCCTCAGAAGTCTCTGTAACTGTTTAATCTGGCTGGCGATGATCGTAAGTAACCTTTGTCGTTGTTACTCTCCCCGTAGCGCTCTCAGTTTTTGGCAGAGAGGCTCTCAGAGGAACTTAGCATCTCTTAATTATGGGCATCAATTACGTTCACATTCCTCTCAGATGAGCCAAAAGTTCTTGCAACCCTGAAGACAGTGCTATGTTATACCCACAAAGCTAACGACAGCAGCTCTATAAAGCTCTAAAGTGTGCTGCAGTGATTTTTAAAGAAGTCTGGAATATTTTCACCAGTTGTTTCTCTAACATGAGGTTACATAGATGTGGTTTGCAGGGATTATATAGCATATATTGCAGGCAATTCTAATCCATTTGGATGTTTTTAACACTTTTACATTGATTTATGGTGATAGAGTAATAAGTCTGGAGAGGAAAAGGAGATTTAAAAAAAAGCCAACTTGTATATAAGAGAATTTAGGTTTGATTTAGCTTTGTATGGCCTAGATTGAGTGTAATTTTGGAGCTTTTGATATTGCTAAGCTTATAAATGTGTGTTGATAAATTTTAGGTATTTTTAAGATTAATATATAGCAAAGTATACAATCTGACACATGTAGTCATAAAACACTTCAGACATACTCCTGGCATATTGTCATCCTCTATCTCCAGGACGTGTGCCTAAAGGAAGACTGCTAGATTAAGTTTTGGCAAGTAATCTGGGAAAAAGAAGGCAAAGTTAAGAGTTCTACTGGAAGTTATTTTCAGGTTGATAGTAGCTTTTATTCTTTAGATCAGAAACTGACCTTACCTAAAGTAAAAAATTGAAATTTGGGCAAAAAGTCCTTAAGAAGTGTTTGGGAAGTGAGTGATTGCTTCTTATCAATGTTAACATAAACTCAATATGAAATATACAGTTATACTGTACTATTTATGTACTATTATGCCATCTATTGAAGGGTCATAATCTGCCGTGCATGGAGACAATGTAATATTTGATGTATTTCTGTAGAGAATAGAGGTTTGAACAGGTTTCACTTATTTATATGCTAGAATTTTTATTAAAACATGTATTAGTGCTTTAGTGTTTCAAAGCTCCGTTGTGTACAGTTAATCATTTAGTTCCCTGTATTACTGTCCTCTTGAATTACCTACTAGCGGCTGTCTCTGGAGAGGGGGTGCTCAACAGTCAGTGGTCAAATGGTCTGCTCTGGTGACGTGAACTGCTGAGTCTAGCTGCAAGTATTAAAAATGTTTTCATCTGTATGCTAATGAAACATTTTTTAAGATCTGTAGATAAAACATATAAAATAAGAAACTTGGCGTTGCTAGGGCGTGTATCTGTATTTCAGAATCTTAAAGCTTTTAAACGGAGTCAAAGATATATTGCGCAGTGAAGAATAAAAGCTGCATCTTTAGAATCAATTTGTTGCCTATTAAACACACCTCTGAATTTGGTCCTTAAAATGCATTTTTAATACTTAAGCTGTTCTGAGTTTTATGACCTCTTTATATTTTTCTTATTTTTCCCTTGTTATGATGGGGTTTGAGGTTTTGCTTTGGTTTACAGCACATTTTAAATATTTTTGGGAAGCAACTGAATGTCCTCGTAAACTTAACAGTACATTTTGTAGGAGAAAGATGCATGTTTCAGATGGAGTAAGATCAAAGTTTTGGACCTGCGATGAGGACCGTGTGTCTGGGAATAATTATTTTTACCTTTGTTTTTGCTTTTTTAAAGAAATTACAACAAAATTAGCTTTTCTGATTAATTAAGCTGAAATTATTTGCTGTAGAATTGCTGGGATTGTGTGTAGTTTGTTTAAGACTTTCGTATAGGTATAATGTGCTCTTTTATGCCATTAAGTCACAGTTATTATTTCTATAAGGAATTTTTGCTTGAAGTTGATTCTTAAAAGTATTAAATATTTTCTAGCTTCTTTCATAACTATTAGTGCTCCAGTTTGCATCAGCTTATCTGTTTGTTCTTTTTTTAACTTTATCATACATTCAATCATTGGCCTTTTAAATTTAGCCTAATACGCAGCCTGAATAATTGGGTTGCACCCCAGGTGAAGGACTCTCATGTCTTTCTGTTCCCAAGTCAGAGGAGTAGGAGCGTTGCTCATTTCAATAAGCTTTTCTGCTGAGGAGGAAGTCTTGATTCATTAGCTAGTCCACTTTTTTTTTTTTTTCCTTTTCAGCTCTTAAAACCTATTCGGATTACAAAGCATATCAGTTAAATTCTTCAGAAGTAGTTAATGATTTTTTTTTTTTAATTCCTAGTCATATTGCTTTAAAAAGCTAAATCTAATTCTGAAAAAGATTTCTCTATTAAGTATCTGTGGCTAATTATATTTAAGTTATTGAATCACTTAAAGTTTTTGATCGCCTAGTCCTTCCAAATATTTAATCAACACATACACCTTCCTGTTAAGCTATCTTTAAGAAGTCATTTCCACAGGACAATGGTCGAATGAATTTGGTATTCCTCTCTCACTGTGCCACAGAGTACAAAGGAGAAGGAGGGGGAAACCTTTTCTGTCCTGTAGGAACAGTATTATGAAATCTGGCTGCCCTTCACAGCTATTTCAACAAAGTTGTGACGGAGCTGGTTTTTTTCCCCTATAATAATTGAAATGTAATTCATAGGCTGTTTTCTTTATACAGGCAAGCCAAAATAGATGGGCAGACAGCAAATGCTAAGGTCGATGAAATGACCAGATTGACAGAGAAGCTTCAAGGCCAATTGGAGAGAAAGGTATTCTAGAGAGAGGAGTAATTTTCTGTTGCAATGGAATGGCTTGTCAGTTATCTGCACGCTGATGTTACACAAATTGCAAGTTGTTCTCTAACTTGTTTTCTGTTGGCATATCTTTATATTGTTCAGGGAAGCTCAGATGATGTCTGGATAATACATATATTCTTTCTAGGAAGAAGATGTGATATCTGCTCAGCAAAGAGAAACAGCATCTGACAAACGCTTGCAGCAGCTGCAGTCTAGTATAAAACAATTAGAAACAAGGTAAAGATAGCTCGTGGGGTGTTAATAACAGGATCCATGCAAGTGAGATAAAATATTATGTCTTTTTTTGTCTTCTGGGTTTTGTGTCTCTGAGCAGTTCTGTTTTCTCAAAATATAGGTGTCTTATGCTTGGCTGCTCTCTATCTTACTTGTATTCTGCAGCCTTTCAGAACAGCTTCTGATTTCAATGTATTTAAAATGATAAAACAGCCCACCTGATTTTATTGACTGTAACAGAATAAAAATGGGGCATATATTTTTCATTCTAGTGCATAAATTCTAGTTACTCAACTCTTGTTAGCTTTAGGTGGAGTTCTAAAGAAAAACATTCACACTGAAATTTGAAAGTATTTACGTAAACTAGCTATTTTTGAGGTGAATACAGATTTTTCTTTCTGCGTTAAATAAGATTGGGTTTCAGGTCATAGTTTGACAATCTTTATACAAAAAAGATTATTTAATAAAACTGCCAAAGCACACTTCTTAACAATAAATGCTAGTTACAAAAGTAGTTTGAATACCAGCTAAGGAGTAGAACTTCAGTTCCAGCACTATCTTCTGGAAAATGTAAGATTTAATCAGGTTCTTTTGTGTGGACTTTTTTCCCCTCCCTTTCACTTTCCAAGGATATGACAATTAGCTGAGTACAGTGATTTTGATTCAAGTATCAGGAACAGTTGTTGAATTGTTAACATTAATCAAATGACCTGACAGCTAAGAAGAATTTGTAAATTGCTTATTGAAATAATTGCGTGACTGTTCATCTTCCCCTCTCGGTCACAGCCTTGTAAGCGCGATTAGTGGACTCTTCAATAACTCTAGAAACCAAATAATTACTAGGGAATTAATTTTGTGACTGTATGGTCAAACACTGCCTCGAGGACTCACACAGACTTGTGTGGCTACCTCTACTCGATGAATTTCACTGGCCTAAGCATTGTGGAGGCTCTTAAGTTTATTTTAGAATGTCTTGAGGAATTAGCTAGTTTTATTCTTTCCTGTAGGTTTTTAGTTCTACAAAAAATTGTGCTTTGGCTCTGCAAAAAGAGAGTGGTTGTCTTTCTCTGTATGTTTTATGACAAACATGTCAGAAAGTAAAAAAGCATTGCTGCTTGAAAAAGCAGCTCAAGTGTTGCTGAAGTACTCACTATGGATATTTAGAACTGTGCACTTTATTGAACCAGCAGCACTTGTGGAACTTTCTGAGATTTTTTGTGAGGATACCTCCGAGGCATTCTCGCCCTTTCTCATGCCTGCCGATACTGACAATCATAATTAAACAATAAGAATTTCTGAGCTGTTTTAAAATTACCAGTGGTTTTCTTGTTTTAATGGTATAGCTGCAACTTCATTGCACACATCCAATTATTCCATTTCCTCCACAGAGGAAAACTTTATTCCTTCTGGGGCTGTTCTATTCTGTTTTAATATAGAACACTTCCAGTGATCTGTCCCAGGGTAGCAACATTCTTCTTCTGAGGTTAGATATCTGAGTTAACTCCTTTAATTCTGTTTTGTTTCTAAGACTTGATGAATATTAAAGACTCTGTCCCAAAAACAAGCAGAAAAGCAGGGATGCAGTTTTAGCAACTTAGGAATAAATACTTCCTATTAGTTTAGTTTGAAAGAATTAGTGTCTTAATTAAGCACCTTGTTGCTAAATGAGTAAAATTCTTACTGTCTGGTAGATTACATGTTACTGTCCAAGACGCAGAACAGCTGAGAACAGAAAGAACAGCCCTGGAGAAACAAATTGGAGAGCTTCAGACAAAGTATGCTAACGTAGAAAGGGAGAAGTACGATGCTGTTGCAAAAGTCCAAGATTGCATACAGCTCTTAGAAGAAGCTAACCTACAAAAAAGTCAGGTAAGGCGATGGATGAAGATACGTCTTAGATATTAGAATACTTTCATCACTTAGAGTTGTGGAGTGCCTGATTATGTGACTCTTGCAGGCATACATGCATACACAACCAAGCTTCTTTTATGTCTGTCGTGCTAAAATTAGCGATGTGTAAGGTAGCAAACTGTGATGTGACATACATTTCTTAGACTTGTCATACAGTGTAAATTTCAAAGACTGTTGAGTGTCTGGATAAAGGTGATCTAAGTGATAATAGTGCACCTGAACTTGAATTGTCAAAAATTTTTGACAGAGTTGCGTATCAAGTACTTGTAAGCAAATTGGGCTGTCAGAATAAAAAGGAAGGTCCTGTTATGAATTTATAACGTATTAGTGGTTAGGAAAGAAGAGCTAAAACTAAAGGGCCTTTTTTTGTTATGTGATGGGCATAGGTCACCAAGAGTGAGTTCTGTGTTCAGATGTCAGTTATTCAGAAGGAATCTGGAAAAGTGACTGAGTAGTGAGTGGTTAAAGTCTGCAGTCAGGAAAAAATTGCAAAGGTGTTTATTAGTGTATTATAAAATGGCAGAAGAAATTTAAATGTGCCATACTGGGTGCTGAATTTAGTCTTACCAGTCAAAAAACAGTTTAGGAGATGGTGTGGATGTCTTTGAAGAATACATGCACGCAATCCTCAGTGGTGCTCGATACGATGAAAGGTAAAAATAATTCAGAATGAGATTTAAAAATAAAGATGCCTGTAGACATAGTGCACCTGCATGTGCAGTTTTGATCAGCCCATTTCAGGCAAGACATAGGAGAATTAGGAAAGTGCAGGAAGAGTCAACAAAGAAAACTAGACATGTGGAGAGGCCTTAAACCACACTTTTACATACAACATGATTAAACTCTCATAGGGTGATGTGTATGCCAAAAGTATAGATATGAAAACAGTCAAATTCACAGCAGCACAATCCACCAAAACTTCCTAAAGAACAGGGTCTAATCCAGTGAGTCTTGACATGCCTATTGATCAAAAAAAAAATAGTCACCCTATTTTCCCAGTTCTTAACTTTCCCAAAGTATCTGCTGTTTGCCCCGTTAGGAGGTAGGATACAGGGTGTGGTAAACTTTTGTCTAACGTGAGCTCTTTGTGTTTTAATGCTGAGCTTTGGTTCAAGTCAGACTTTTAGAAACCTAATGAATTGGGTTTGCTGGCAAGACCAAACTTTAATGCGCATCTAATGACTGTAGCCATCAGTAAGTGAAACGTAGTTTAGTTAATGTCTGTGGGAATAAATGGAGAATCTTAGAATTTATTCTATTTGGGCTAACATGTTGAACTGTTGAGCAGTTAAGGAGATAAATGGTCCCTTTTAGTCTGAAGTTGCTTTTCAAACTTGAGGAGCTTCCTGAATATCTAAACTAGCTTTTTACTTTTAACTTTTGAAATACTAAAGTTAGCTTTGCTTTTGCTGATTTCAGTTCTGTGATGAAGGAGGCACACCTGCCTCCTTTTTTCTGACAGAAAAGGGAACTAACTTCTTTAAAGAGATCCTCCTACCTTCTGGCCTGCTTCCAGAATAGATTAAAATGTTGACAAAGCTTAAGGTTCCGGTCATTGCTGCAGTTAGATTCTTCTTGGTATACAAAAGAGGATTATTATTATCTTGTTAGAGTCTTTCTTCCCATATATTTATAGTCATTTAGGAAACCCTTTGGTGGCATCTTTTCCTTCTCATAATTTCCTGATAACTTTCTACCTCTCATTTGCTTTATGAACTGATCTTTTACCATTTCCTTTACCTGTTGGGTTGTGGTTCAGAAAGGGGTGAAAAATGAAGTTCTACATCTTCCAGCTCTTGATGGCCACCTTTGGACTTGTCAGTTCCTTTTTCTTAGTAAGATATTTTGATCCTTTACAGCATTCCCTGACAGCCTGATAGTGGGGAGAATATGAAGAGTGAAAGATAAAAATAAAATATTGTTTTTCAGTGTTTAAAAACCAGAAAACACTCTTTGACTTGAAAATTAGTGGTAAGGAGTATAAATCACATTTCCAGTCTCGTAAGTCTTAGTACATCAGAGCAGTGTTAGAACACCATTTTTCATCCAAAAGTAGTTCAGCAGATATTTGATGCCGCTTGCTATGAACGCATGTGCAGTTGACAGAAAGAAGTGGCCCAGTAAAAATTATTGTGATGTAAATTGTCCCTAAGACAGTAACTGAGGAGTTACAGATAAGTAAGTGGCTTGTTATAAGTTAACAGTTTAGATTAATGCTGTAGTAGGAGCAAACTGGAATTTGCAGACACTTACTAGTTTACTGCTCTGCCTAAAACATCCTGATTTTTATTTTTTTTTTTTTTTCCAAACTGGGGAGTTTATTAATGAACAGGATAAAAAAAATGCAACACAATATACATATCAGTTAACTCTGAGTCTTAAACTGTGGCCGCAGAGGTTTCTCCCTGCTCTGTAAGACACTGAGGGGTGCGAGTAACAGGCTGTCATAATGCTGCTTCTGTTATGTTAACATTATAAAGTACAGGAAGCTAAGCTTACAGAAAGACATCAGAAGAATTTTAAAAGAGTAGTTTGAGAAATAAAATACAAAGTTGAATTGAATGGGAGCACTAAAAGAAAGTATGACCAATGAAGTGGCATGTTACTGCCTGAAGTGAGTAACTGTCCGTAGGTTGAATTTACATCATCCGTTAGGGACATTTTTATGTCTTTCTCCCTTTATGCATCTACATATTCTCTATGTGCCACCTAGGATTTTTCATCTCACCGACCAAGAGTTCTGTAATCTTTTCAGACCAGTATCTCCTATTATACTTGAACGTCAGTAGGTTTCTTGCATCCTCTGGAGGAAGGGTTCCTTGTTACACCTTTTTGTGTAATTCTTGCCATTCTTTTATGCTAAAGAGCTGTTCCATTCATTGTTATCCACCATGAAAGGGACTGCGTACGCTCTCCTTAGTCGGTTATAAATTTTTATTCCTTTACTTTTAGGTTTCTGGGAGATGAGTAATTTAAGTGTATCAGCCATAAAAAATGCTTAGCTGTATGTAGGAGCACATGTGTGTCTGTGTGTATGCCGGTATTCAGTTTCCTAACGGAGAGTTTTCTATGCATCATTGTTGGCATTTTTAATTACGGATCCTGGCCCCAGATGAGAACATTGGCGAGTAGCCTTGCCTCCTGGTCCGAGTTCCTCTGCTTTCTTCTGTATAATTCCATGCCTAGCCAAAATCTGAAAGTTACAGTAATAAGTCCCAACAGAAAAAGACATCTACTGACACTATCTTTCTGATTTACAAGAATGTGCATTTAGTGCAAAATGTTCTTGCTGCCGATGTTTTCTTGTTGGGTCTTGGTGTCAGCTATTCCAAAGTAAAAAGGAAAACAGGTTTTTTGAACAGTGACTCTGTGTGGTTTCTTCTCTCAGCACTAGTTACTATGTCACCACTGAAATATTGTCAGTAGTATTTCAAGTTGTTGTTTCTTTCTAGGCCCTCTTTGGGGAGAAACAAAAGGAAGAGGAAATCAGAAAAATGAAAGACGAAATATCTCAACTTGCAGAAGATACTGCTGCAAGAATTAGAAAGGCAGTAAGTTATGATGATGTGCCACCACAGATGTTTAGAAAGAATGGGAAGATTTTTTGGTTTTCCTCAGCATGAAAAGCTATTGATGGTGCATGGTCATCATAAGCAGTTCTCTTATAAGTGTTTTGATAATATAGGTAGTAAGGCAGCATGCTGACAGTACTGTACTCTTCAGCTTTGTTATCTAGACATATATTCTTCTGAACTAAATTATATTCTTAAATCTCTCAAGAACTGAAAGTGTTGATGTCTGTGCAGACACTGGTATAGAGAAGGTTGTACTCTGAAGATGATTTCAGAGGTGCTGTTCAGGAGCACGTTGACTCAGGAGACTGAGTGTTAAATTGGTATCAAGGTATTTAGTTTATGATCTGTGGCCTCATCTTGGAAGTTGCTGCTGGAAGCTTACCATGTACGTTCAGGTGCTAGGCCCTGTTGAAAGTTACTGGGTTTTTGGCATCTCAGTACTTAAAAGGATTCCCCTATTTAGGCAAGGAAGACTCTTCTACCAAGTACAGCTAACAATCAAAAGGCTCAATATCACAAACCAGAATTTGGTAGAGAACTGACTAGAAATGTTGCATGGATTACTTAAAACTGCGATATTTGACATCATACATGGTTTGGAGAAGGTGCAAGAGCTAAATAGCAACTAGGATAACCACTCTAGTTGTGACAATGATTTACGAGTCAGAATTTAGAAGTTTAGAAATGCCCTATTTCTTATTGTGAAATTATCTTAGTAAAAGTGAATCTGTCAAAAGCATAAAAAGTAAAAATTTAAACTATGAGTTGTCATGTTTCTCCAGGTATTAAGAGATAGTTCTTTTGTTATGTCATCTAAAAATATCTGTTACAAAAATTGCAAATACCTTGCACCTAATGGACAGCAACTTCCCTGATAGTCTTATTGTTCTTTTTGTAAGGCCTTGTTGTGACGTCTTCCTCTCTGCTTTCTTTTTTTGAAGCACCCTCAGTTATAGTATGGATTGATAATAAATATTCTTCTAACATTTATGTAGTAAGATTTGTCAGTTATTGCAGTCTCAGTTTCATATTTATATACATGCACCACATATAGGCTGTATATATATAAAAACAAGATGGAAAATAGTTCATGGGATTAATTTTTTAGTTTTACTTTGTTTCTGATCACAGGTAGACTCTGCAAAGAAGCAATATAATGTGCAGATTTCTCGACTAACAGAAGAACTTTCAGCTCTTCAGATGGTACGGTGTTGACTGATGAAAGTGTTTTTGATAGCAAAACATCTTCCGTGTTACTTGACAGTAGCGACTGTATGCGGTGTCTTAACAGTCAGTGCAGAGATTCATATTTAGGTGTAAAGGATATTTGCTTTGACAATTCATTTTTGATGTACAGATTTGTCGTATGTGTATACAATAAGAGCACTTGGTTGGCTCTGCATGAAATAATACAGTTCTGCAAATCTACCCATTTCTTTGTGTAAGTTTATTCCTTGAGTTACACATATTCTGATCATGGTTCACAAGCATCTTGATGGTGAGATTCTGTGCTCTAGAAAATATTTCCCATGTGATGGCATTTCTTAGGTATCCCTGTTTCTCTCAGGGATAAATAAAGCAGGGAAAGTGAGTGTTTTATATCTATTGTTGGGAATGTAAATGTGAAGTATATGAAAGTTGATAAAAGTATGCTAAGAGACAGTCTGTGCATCACAGTCATCGTATTCTTGAATGAACCGGGAACTTGTAACAAATTATGTGGGAGACCAAAAGAGCTCGGTGCATATGCACCTATTCATGCATTAAATTCATTTTTAAAAAGGTTTCATTTTATATGTCTTAATCTGCGTAGTGAATGAGACTGATGCTGTAGAGAAAATAATGAGGAGGTAAATATAATCAAATGCATACATACCAGCAGCAAGAATTACATGTACAATGGCTGGTTTCTGGCTTTGCCACTTCTTGACTTTTTATTTTCAGTTAATTTTTATTAGATTTATTTTAAAATGACTTTTTAAAATAGGAATGTGGAGAAAAACAGGGCCAAATTGAACGAGCCATTAGAGAAAAGAGAGCAGTGGAACAAGAGCTTGACAAGGTAAGGCAATTGCATGCATTTTTACATCACATTTAAGATCTCTTTCCAGAAGGAAAAGATATATTGATTTTTTTCCCATTTCTCATGGGTTTTTTTCCTGCCTTAATTTTCTTACTTTATTTTTTGAGTAGATTTTCTTAATTGTAAATTGTCATGTAATTATTTTCAGTTTGTGGGCTTATTTTAATCTGGAAAACTTTTTAAAGCTGTAATACTAAACGGAAAAGATAGATTTTTGAAAGGTGTAAAAAGTAAAAGGAGAGATGTTTGATATAATCCGAAAGAATGTTGGTACATATTCCAGTTAAACTTAAGCTCAATAGACAGAAAACTAAATGAACGCCAGGTCTTTGAAAACTTTTTTTCCAAGTAGCAGCAACAGTGACAGAAATTCAGTTTTGTTTTAACTCACTGGAAAATAGGAGGCAATGAGGAGTAAGTAGCCTTCCTGTCAGTACTATGCTGCCAATCACCTGTGCGAGGTAAAGATGATAAGTTTATTCTTCAGATTTACAGGGAAGACAGAGGACATGAATCTCTCAACAGAAAACTAGAGCAACTGCATCAGAAATATTTACTTGCAGAAACTGTAAAAGCTGACCTTCAGCTAAGTCTACAGACAACACAAAATAAACTGAAACAACTAGAAATGAAGTAAGTAATGGATGTTACAGAAATCAGAGTGGAAAACAATGGAAATTATTTTTTACTATTTAAATTGTTGATTATGTGTTAGGTTTTTGTCACATCTTTTTCACCAGTAGCAGGAATAGTATCAAGGAGTATATTACTTGAAATCGTACTGCATTTTGAAATACTGTTTGTAGGAAAAGTCACTCTATGAAATATTCAGGCAGAATTTATTACTTTATAAATTCACCTAGAGTGTGGTATCTCCTTGTACGTGTAGGACACTGTGTCTACCTAGCAGACAATTTCAGGTCTGTGTTCAGCTAATAGACATTATTGCAGTTCCAGTAATACAATGTTAAAAAGTATAATATGGTACACATTTTTAGACCAGGTTGTTGGTTTTAGCATGAAAAGTGTAGGATTCTGTAGAAGCTTCAGTCATTTCTGTACTCTGACGATCGTAAATCCTGTCACTTCACCAGAGCAATCCTCAGTTGGGAGTCTGGAAATGTTACCAAAACAAAAGTCTTCTGTTTTAGTTGGTATTTTACTGAGATTGCTACAATATTAGATTGGGTTTATGAATTCTGTCATCTTGATAACATTCTTTCCTGACTTGTGCATAGTTCTAGCTGTCAAGCCCATTAAACATGTTGAGCTGATATAAACTTCCAGGAAGAAACAGGGGAACAGCTGTAGTGGTCAGACCAAAGATCTGTCCCAATATATGTTGTGGGTTTTTTCTTCCTAGTACAGTAGTTGTTCAACTCTTGAGTTCCAACCAAACTTTTCTTCTTTCAGCTCTGAGGAAGAGAAGTCTCGTTGCCAGGAAGTTACCTCTAAATTGCAAAGCATTCTGGATTCAGAAAGAGAAAAGAGTGCCTTTGTCAGTGAACAAAGGCTAAAACTTCAGCAAGAGAATGAACAATTGCAAAAAGAAATGGAGAGCTTGAGAAAACTGGCCATAGAGGCTCAACAAAAAGCTAAAATAAAGGTGTGGTTTATATGTTATTTTTATGCTAATCTAAGACTGATACTTGCTTAATAAGGCAGCAGTTCTAAGAGAAAATCATTGAAAGTTTAGGTTAAGGATGAAAGTTTCAATGATGCTTCCTGGTTTCTGCTTAAAAATAATTTTGTTGTAGCATTGCATGTCCTCAGAGTCTATTGGGTTACTCAGTCTCTGCTAATTAAATTGTATTTTAATATGTATTAAATTCTGCTGATAAGATGATCCGAAATGTTCTTTGCTTTTTATAAGATGATATTATTAAATAATAACGTATTTTCCTTCAAGTGATTTTGCTTATTCCAGTTCTAGATCTTCGTTTACTGTCTGTAATGTGTTAGGAATCTCTGTGTGACTTTCAGTCCATAGTGTTCCGCTACTTGTATGTCCACCATGTTGTCAGAGCAGTGTATAACTAATAAATAATTTAATAGTGTGGTTGTCAAACATCGGTTCTGTATTTTCTGGACAGAGAACATTTTTCTGTATGAATAGTCCCAAACAAGATAATTAGCTGAAAGGTGGTTGTTCTTCTTGAACGTGTTCCATTAAATGCACCTGAGCAGACTGCAGATGGGATAATGAACTAATAGTAACCTCAGCAGATTCATGGTGCCTTTGGCTTCTGGAGGGAGGAACAGCTTTGAGCCATGATGTGCTTTCTTAACATAAAAAGCTGGTACTTTCGTCTCTGCTCTTAACTCCAGGAGTGTAAAGATACTGAAAAGGAATCTTAAGAACCTGCAGCAATGAAGATGACTTCAGTAAGCAGTTTTACAAGTTATGAGTGGGGACCATCTCAAATCCTTTTTCCACTTTGCACCACAAGATAAAGGAAGCAGTCAAATTAAACAGGAAATCTTGTTCCAACTCCAGAACCCTTTGGTCAAACGTAGTTTAAAAAGAGTCTGGTAGCAGTTATAAAGCATATACCAGCTCTTTGTCTGTCTCAATTTTAATCAGACAGGCTTCCATTATAGTCACAGATAAGATTTATTGTTTGCTTTCATTTTCCTCTGATGTACAAAGGATTTTAGATGCGGTTATGAAACTCCTAATATGTTTTAGCTAGATGAAAAAGAAAGAACATGTTTGTGTGGAGAAAACACAGGGGAGAAGGATGAAGATTATTTACAAAAATAGGCATACACAGCTCATTATCCTTTATTGTCAGTTGTACTATTTGCTTAAATTGGCTTTGGAAACATGCATCTCTTTGAGCATATAATTACAAGTTTAATTATTGTATGTTACATGCTTTCAACAAATGTTTATAAATTTAACTCAAGTGCTGTGTTTAAAAAAAAGTGAGAGCCTTGATTGTACCTGATTTGTATTTTTCTAGATAAGCACAATGGAGCATGAGCATGCTGTGAAAGAACATGGATATGAAGCTCGACTTAAGGAAATGGAAGACACCAGTCAAAAGTCTACTGCAGAACTCAGACGTCTGTTAGTAGCTCAGCAAAAAGCAACAAATCGGTGGAAAGAAGAAACAAAAAGTCTTACTGAAACTACAGAAGCCAGGATCAGTAAGCTAAAGTAAGTGCAGTTTTGTTTCTCTTCTGGAAGCTGTTACGGTTTTAGTTACTGTTTGGTGTATGGCAGTAGACCTGTAGTGAAAAAACATGAAGAGCAAACCATCCAGCCTAGATGATGTGCTTCCTGCAAAACAAGAAAGCATGTTCTAAAAAGAACTTTTGATGCTTTTTGTGAAGTTAGCACTGAAGTAAAAATTTCGCATCTTGTTGATGTATGTGAATTTTGTAATGACAAAATGGAATATATTACTTTTGATTTTCTCTTTCAAGATACAGCACGCTCAATTTAGAGAATTTTAGCTTTGGATTATGAAAACTGCTATATTTACAGTTATTCAGAAGTGTCACCATAAAATCAGTTGTGGAGTGAGTCTCCAGACTTCTAAAATAAGCTGGAAAAAAACCTATTGGGACGCACAGCTAATGTTCTCATCTGAGCAGCTGCTGTCATAAATGAGGCTACAAATGAGTTGTGTGATTGCCCTAAGCAAAAATATGATACAAATTTCACTTTTTTTCTTAATTCATACAGGCTGCCAGGTAACAACAGCACAGAATATAAGAATATTTTCAGTTTTGAAAGGGCATAATAACAAGGGCATCTCACATAACAGGCAGAAATACCGATTGCGTATCATTCCTAGAAGCTGGGGAATACAATCACCTATGGTGCCTGTGAGGCTGTATACAGACAGACATGAACTGGTTCAGAGGAGACAGGGGCGTTATTGGAAATGAGTAGAGAAGGAAGTGTCCCAGTGAGAAACTAGCCATTTGCAAGTTATGTCTGAAATAAATTCTACAAACTTCTCTTTGCTTTAAATGCATACTGCTGTAGATAGTATTTGCTTCCATTTGGATGTTAATATCCATTAAAAAATGTTATGAATCCACACTGATCAGTTTATGAAATAAGCCGATACGGCATCTACGTTCATCTTGGGTTTTCTTTTTCAGTGTGTGAACACATTGCACGGTGTTAAGATGTAAATGAATTGGTCTGTGCACACTGGATGTGTAGTGTCTTTCCTTTTCTGGTATTGCCTTCCTGCATCTCAGCTTCTTTGCGTGTCTTGTGTTTGGCTGGCAAGTAACAGCCAAACTGTGGCTATCTGCAAGCTGACCCACTCACTCACTCACTGTGGTTAGCCAGCTAGCCAGTGCTTGTAGGAGGCCAAGTTTTAAATGGGCTTTTTCTCAACAGAGGCCAAGATATATCTTTGCCTCGTGCTTTATTTGATTTCTAAGCTGAGGAAACTGTCAGTTGGATCAAGTAGACTATAAATTTGAGATTAAATTAGCCTGATATTTTTATAGAACTTCTTAGAAGTTTGTGTCCTTCAGATCTCTTCCTCTTCGAAATTGGTTGAAAATTGGAGGAGATTGACAGACTGGTACACAGTAACTTCTGAACTAGGAAGCTTGTTTTCATAAGTCTCATTTCTTTAAAATTAAAATGGTTAGAGAAGGGTGTGATATTGCGTATATTGTTATCTTTTAGGAAGTGCATTCAGTAGTTTTTAGAAGAAAAATTCAGGGTATGCAGCTCTCTTAATTTGAGAAATTTGAAATAACGCTTTAACTTTAGTCACTTAAAGCGCAGGATGCACTCCATGTGGAGCTCTTTGCTCAGACTGATTTTAGTACTTGCTTACTATCGTGCTAAAAAGGAAGCAAAGCTTTTGCCTTATTAAAATAGGCAGCCTGTGAATTCTAGCTTTTATTTCCTTTAGCATAATCTTTGGATTTTTCACATTTTATTATAATAATGGTTTACATATTCTCAGCTCGAACCATAGTATTTCCAGTATCTTGTGCAATTTTTGGAGCCACAGTTTTTTAAGCGTAGATTGACACTTCTCAGTCATCAGAATGCCAATGGTGTGAGTGGAATTAGAACCCAAGTTTCTAAACAGGAGCAAGGAGAATAACTTCTGAAAATGTTGCCTACAACCGATCTACCCTACCACTACTCTGACTTGGTTTTCCATCTTTATAGAGAAGAACGTGAAATTTGACCTCCAGTGAACTTCGCAGATAGCAGTCTCGTATGTAGTAGTGCTTCCCTTTGAAACTAGTTTCATTCCTCTTTAAAGTGACACAGTGTCTGTCATGACTCGTTGTGCCTCTTGTCTGTCCAAAGAGAGGAATGCTGTGAGGTCCATCCTGCTTGAAATGCAAGGAGGGTTGATAAAACATGTATTGATGACCTTTCTGCTTTACTAGCAGCTTCAGTGATCCGCTTTTCATTTTTTCAAGTGCTCCTCTTCTGAGTGTTCAGAACACTTTGTGGTAGTATTGGATTGTTACCTATGATAACTAGTTCAGTTTAAATATTTCTGATAGTTCGAAGTCGTACTAAATCCAAATAGAGATAACATTTTTGCCTGTTTTTCTAGAAAAACAAGTCCTACATAATCACTCTGGTCATTTTTACCTCTCCTAAGTAAACAGGTTTGGGTTTTTTACCTTATCTGTCCAGATACAGGCTGGCTTTATTTTGCCTTAAAATATATGCTATTTTGCAAAGATTACTAAACAGTTCTTTAAAAAGGCAGAAAGTCTCTTTCAGAAGTCATCACATTGTTGAGCACATCTGAGAGACACTGGGAGCTGTGTTTATTCACTGACAGTTGTAGCGGTATAGCTTCACTGTATGTAATTAGCTGGGTCTTAATAATACTTCTTTTGACACCTTTTGTAAGTGCTGTAACTAGAGAAGAAAAATATTTTGTAGTGTTTCATGCTAAGGTAAATTTTAGCTGTTAAACGTACTTATTTTCTGTAAATGAAACTACAAAAACTCTTACAGTTGAACATCCAGGTTCGTAACTAGATCATGAATGTAGTTCAGCAACTTCCAGTTAAAAGGGAAAAATTGCAGACTTCCAAACCAACTAAAGTTGTCTGTGAAATAGCTGCTTTTCTTCTTAAAGCTTTCATGTTAAGTGCTAAAATGTTGTTCTAGCAGACCAAAAGCTTTAGACCTTATTTATCTGCAGCAAAATGCTGACATAGAAAGTGTAACAGACATGAGAAGAAGTCTGTGTTGTGAATCTGCATGAAAAATAGGCAGTAAATTTTGAAAATGTCCCTATTTATGTGAGAGACTGCCTATGTGGCATGATCTGGAAAACTCCTGCAATAATTTAACATCCTGTATCAGCGAATACTGGCTGATGAGTAGAACAGAATGAACCTTAATCTCGTAATAGAAATTGTAAGTCTACACTGAGTCCGCATCATTCTCTGACTTCCGTAGATATTTTGGTGCAAGTCTAAAAGCAAAGTCAGTTACTTTTTAAGATGATTTCGTAGGTGATGCTTTTACGTCCTGTATAAGCTAGAAGCAGTTGTTTTTATCAGATGTTTGCTCTACCTGACAAGGAAGCTGGCAAGAGAAACAAGTTTGTTCTCTGCTAGGAGGTTGTAATTTAAACTGACATAAGGAATTTCATCATTAAATCTGTGCAGTGATGCTCTGATACTATGGTGACAAGTGGCTATAACTGATAAGTATTATCTAGAAAATTTAAAACTAGCTTATTTTTCACATTACATGCATTACCAAGTACATAGCTATATAGCGCAGAATGCTGTTGGTATGAAAATTACCTCCTGAGTTACACAGTGGTAGTTATTCAATGCAAAGTCCTTGCTTATACTATAAATGAATAATTATCATATTTATTTTAATCTTATCACAGTAACATTTTGAGGAAGTATTTCGAGTGCAAGTACAGAATGGCAAATCACTTCTTGCTTTTGTGAACTAAAATAAGGTTGCTGATTATTTAAAAAGCAAAATAATTTTGCAGAAAATGCATTTATGATGGAAATATCAGCAAGACCCCTAAATAATAGACTGATTCTGGGTAAGCAGGATCTATTGAATTAAAGACTCTGTTTGAAAGTCCTCTTGAGGCTGATGCAGGAAGCGGTATCGCCAAGCCTTACAGCGGGCTCCAAGCGAAAGGTCGATGTTCACCCAGCTTTCCTAAATACGTACATTTTTAAGTTTATGTGGTTCTGAGAGGGTTAGTTAAGCTGTGAGCTTGTAAGGAAAACTTAATATCTTCCTTAGAAACTTCATCTTGTCTTGCCTGGGCAGCAAGGCTGTGAACTTAGATGAAGATACCAACGTACCCTTTTGGATTTAAATCAAGAGCTCTCCATGTTTAGCAGCGTATCATGGTTATTTAGTACATTTTGAGGACAGTCTGAGACATTCCTTAGCACTTCATGAAGTTACTGGTTGATGTATTGGATTCGTGTAAATATATCAGCAAATACACTGATTGCGTTGGTGACATGTAGCAGAATTGCAGTTTGTAATAAGAATTATTATTCCTACAGCATAGTAATGTGCTTTATAAGTTGGTTTTTCAGGAAGTTATAAACTTCCTAAGAAAGTCATATCCGTGTATGCTGGGGAGGTAGTTGACATAAAAGTGTTTTATATTGTATTTCACCAGAAGTTTGCTGTTAGTGCAGCTCTCGTAAGCATTGAGTCAGTGACCCATTTGTTAGCGTAGGTGTTTCCTGTGCCTTTGCCTTAAATTCATGATCTGTTGCTGGTTTTCAGTTCTATCCTCGTTATTTTCATTTTCCATGTGAAGGTGTCGGAAACATTTTGGCTTCATTACTAACTTCCCAGCAGCAGCTGCTAACTGTTCCATATTCTGTGCTGCTCATTTATCATCTTTTAAGTCTGCAGTGTTTTCTTTGTGAGGTGTAATCCATACACGTAAAGGAAGCATTAAAGAAATACTTATAAGAAATGAAGCAACATCAGTGAACTTTAGGTGATTCTTAGCTTTCAAAAAATGAAGAAGGAAACAGTAGGCAATGCATTGAACACTCGTAGACTGTTCCATATTCTGTGCTGCTCATTTATCATCTTTTAAGTCTGCAGTGTTTTCTTTGTGAGGTGTAATCCATACACGTAAAGGAAGCATTAAAGAAATACTTACAAGAAATGAAGCAACATCAGTGAACTTT